TCACTGTCAGTGATTTTGGTGTCTCCCCCTCTGATGGTATTACACGGTGCAGGCAGCACCCCCCGCACCCCCTTTGTGACACCACTGAGAACATGTGCTCCTTTTCTGCAAGAATCTCATGTTTTTCACTCCACAGACTTTAATGGGAGCGCCTAAAAAACATTTAAATACAAAATTGTGGGGTTTTTGTGCACTTTTGTGCCTAAGAACCGTCTTCTCCTTCATTGGCTAGAACAAAAACACTCAAGCCTGAAACACTTAAAAACTGCACAAAAAAGCATCAAAAGTGTCCAAAAATGCTCTAGTGTGAATGGGGGGCTCAAAAGTACCTCTTGCCATTAATTTAAAAAAAAAACTGCTGATCCCGACCTCCCTCATTAGCCAAATACATCTACGTAGTCTAAATAGTCTGATAGGATCAGCAAAGGACAACACTGTACAGCACTGCTAAGCAAAGAGAACACGTTCAATGTGTAATGAGCAAATATAGCCAGACACGTACATGTATAAAATTACAAGCTTTATTCAGAATCAGGGTTTTAACACATTACCAAACAAACCTAGAGGCAAACATTTTCTTAGCTCTTGCAGTGGGGTTTTTATTTCTGCAAGACAGATAAACCCTCTGTGTTGGTCCTGGTGACCACTGTCAGAGAGACAGAAAATTATGGGAATCCAAAATTTTACAGTTGTCCCCAGAACAAGAGGTAAAATAAAGTATTCCAATGGGGACACCTGTTCTGGTGACAACTGTCGAAAACTGGACACACACTTTCATTTTTATTTTTTTTCCGACCTGCAGGCTGAAGAAAAGAAATAACAGATTCCTCCATTCACACTAAACAGCATTGATGGACACATCTCAGGCATCTCGAAGAATTCCAGATGGAAGGGTGCTGACAGGGCCACCCACTGTGCGAATGTTGTCCGCTTCATTAAGAACCGGCCAAAATGTGCACAGTGTACGTCTAGCTTAAAGTAATAGTAACCCCTTCACGACCAATGAAGTACAGTCTACGTCGCTGGCATCGGGGCTGTTTAAACAGACTCCCGGCGGCTTTTGCCGCCGGGGCTCTGTTTAAACTTGTAAAGCCGACTGTCGGCTTTACAGTAGAAGCAATTCTGGCAACTCAGCTGTCGCCAGATCGCGTCTACGGGCCGGTGAAGGGGTCACCCCGCCTGACACCACCGCCGTGTTTCCCGGGTTCCGTTGCCCCACCTACAGGCCCGGGACTGGCTTCTTTGGTGTTGGGGGAAGCGGGGGAGGAGATGGATGAACCTCCGTTCGTTGATGCCCTCCCTGTACTATAGGACCGGGAGGGATGCAGATTACATCACTTCCGGTGCCATAGCTGTCAGTGCTGGGCGTCTGAAGCCCAGCTATAAGCTATTGAAGTGCGCCTAAGCAGTACTCTAAAAAATCTACCTTCTGTCTGGAATCCCTCCTGAAAAATACAGTACCATTTCTGGTAACTGTGGGTGCCTAGGTGTTCCAGTACTTACAGCCTCATAGTTGTACTATATATCTGTAGTGTTACATTTAAGACCCTTTCACAGCACAGTGTTGTGTTAATCGCATGATACCGTAGGAGTAATGCACAATATCATACAACGTACCTATCGTGCACCTACTGTGCTCTAGGTACATTGCATTGCCATACATTCGAATGGCACCACAGTACACCTCCTGGGCGCCCTCTCTCCTTGCATGTCATAGCCTTTTCTGCTTCTGCGAAGTCTCAGTACTGACGCACTGGCCCAGCTCCTCTGCCCCTCCAGTCCCCTTTCTACATAACCTTTAATTTAGCTGCTGAAGGGGAGTACTATAGAGTGTCACTTGAATGACAGCTATTAGTCTGCTGGGTCTGCTAACAATCCATGATGGAGGCACCCAGCAACAGTCTTAGGGCATTTAGATGTCTAAATAAGGGAAGCGTTTACAGGTAAATAGCATGCATACAATACACATACAATCCTATAAGAAGGCTTCTCATATTTTGCCCATAGTGGGGCTTTAATATCTGGCTAAAGAGCGGGCCTGATGATGCCTGCTGGGAGTGTTATTAAATATCTGAGGCGTATCCTGGAACATGGTCTTACCTCCTGGATATTTCCCTGTGAGGATACATCTGTAACACCTGTCTTGTCCTCAGGCCTTAGGATGTTGAAAGCTATTTGTTATATTGGTGGTCAGTGAGAATACCTCTGTTATATTTGTGGTCAGTGAGAATACCTCTGTTATATTTGTGGTCAGTGATAATACCTCTGTTATATTGGTGGTCAGTGTGAATACCTTTGTT